ACAGGTCCATTTACCATTACTGTATGCCTGTGGGAACTGAGAAACATTTGGTGCAGCAATGCATGAATGTGCCACACCGTCAAATTACAAAACCTGCTCAAACCTGGTCATTCTTTTAGGGTTTTGGTGAAATTGAAAAGCGCAAGAGGCAGTTTCAACACTCACATACCAGTATCAGCCTTTAAAACTCTGTACAAGTAAATACTCTCCGTATTACAATGTGCTGATGCAGAGGGGGGAAACGACAATAAAGCAGCACATTTAAACCCCTTAATGAACGGATCTGACTGTGCCTGATGGATGTAAACAATCTGCTGCTCACACCGGTCTAATATTGCAGAAATAAAGGTACATCTGACAGGCTTGGCACGAGCTGTTACTGGTAGTATATAAACCTGCCACATATGTGATATGTATCACTCTGGTGTGACAATGGCGAGAATAGAAGACTGTGTTAACAATGTACTCTGCAACACTCCCTTTTTCATATTTCTGAGTATCTGATGTTTGTAAACTCATTATGCATTTATGTGGCGAGGAGATGGTAACTCGGGTAACAAAATACAGTGTAATTATCTCACACTTTAACACTTTCACTGTGTCTCTTTGTTCTGTATCCCTGTTTCAAAGACCTGTCAGCCTCAGTCTGACTGATGGCCGTAGGTACAGCTTTACTTCACTGTCAAGTGTTTGGCATCAGAGAAGGTTTCTGTTGCAGTGAAGATCATAAGCAGGATGTGAATGAGCAGAGCTCCATATCACTGTAAACTGTCATCATCTGCAGTGGCTGAGGACTGACGCTGGGCTGCTAACTGCTCCTGGTGAACCTCTCTGACGGCCAAGATGCGTGTGAGCATGCTTTGTAGAGTGGTGCCCTCTAATGGTTGAGAAGTGTACCAGTGGGAACTGTTGAGGTCAGAAAGATATGAAAAACAAAAATGAACATTAAGAGAACCCTTATCATGCCATCTTCCACAAATAGCATAGGAAGTAAGTTTATTACGTAAGTAATAATATGAACTCCCATTAAAGTCCAGATTCCTGTCAGTAACATTTGAACCATTTTATTTGGGCACATAGGGTGAATCTATGTCATGGAGAGGAAGGCCTGGTTATAAGTGACACATTCAAAAGAGAAGAAGCTGAGGTTTCTGACTCTGACCTGTGTGTGTGCACATTCTGTTCAGGCTGGAGGTAAAACATGTCGGTTCTCATCTTCACCGACTCTGGGCTGTCAGAGAGCAAGACCACAAAGAAGATGAAGCATTCGTTCAGTTTTATTTTTTTGTGACTGCTAGTAAGTGCTGTTGTCTTCATTTGTTAGTTTGTTGTTTTTATGTGTGTATTCATATCTCACCATCTAGAGAGGTAGAACTCGTAGAGTCTGACAGGGCAGTGCAGAGGGTTGGTGACATTTTCAAGCATCTCCAGGTTTCCCTCTTCCTCTGCCTGCCTTTTTCTCAACCGCTCTAAAAACAAAATTAAATACCAAAGCTCAGTAAACACACTTTACTCTCTGGGACAGATAGTCAATTTATAAATCTGGTTTCAGAAATTGGGTGATGCTGATATATATAAACATGAAGGCTGACAGTTTTGGATTAAAGTTATTGAGCTGATATTTTGTTCTAAACAGTCACTTTGGAAATTGCTTAAGCTACTACTTAAATGCACAGCTACTTTAATTTAAAAAGATATACAAGTATTATTTTCCAACACCCACCTGTGTCCTCTCGGCGTGGCGTAGCAGTGCTACTTCTCTGGTATCGGAGGTAGTGGGCTTTGCCGCCTCGGCTGCAGGGTTTGGAGCATCGGCTGAAGTTGGTAAAGGAGAGGCTTTGGTGCTGCGCCAGCGTGGTGAAGCGGAAGTTCTTGGTGCAGAAGAAGAGCAGCGTGTTGAGCAACACTATTGGAGAGTAGGCGCCCAGCTGTTTACACTCCCACAGAAAGGACTCCACAACACGGGAGGAAACAACACCACCTTGAAGAGGAAAGAGGAAGTAGGGAAAAAGCTGAGTGACATATTATTGTATTATTGAATACAGGTATTTAAATATCTTAAAATCATGTTAACTACAAAAGTATTACTGAGTATTAATAAATGTAAGTTTATGGGGTCAACCTTGGTACCAATAAAACCTTATATATTGAGAGGTAATTATTTAATCTAATGGCAATAAATTGACGATTATGACATCATGTCAATAATCATACCACTGGGTAGTAGTTTAGGTCTCCAGAGTCGCAGCATCCTGGTGATCTCAGCAGCAAACTGACTGTACAGCTCGTCAGTAAAGATGTTCTCTATGCGGCCCTTCATGAACAAGTACTGTCCAAAGAGAGGGACACAGAAAAGAAGGAATCAGTAAGAATTAAGATGGAAACCAGTGACACAATGTGTGTGTGTGTGTGTACCTGCTGTATCCCCAGACAGAGGTAGAAGATGCTGTCTGGGCTGTAGGTCTCTCCATTGGGCCGTCTCACTTCCCTAATGAAGCGAGTCAGAGCTAAGCTCAGCTCAGCAGAGTTACACTGAAGGACGTCTTCTTTAATATCCACTGGACTGGCTACAGGGGAAGAGACCATCAAAATGGTTCAGAGGAAGAGATATCCTAAAATACAACTGGTTTAGTCAAGAAAACTAAGGCTCACATTCTCTCAGTTGTTTGTTCCGTTGTTGGACCCAGGTCCTCCAGGCCTTCACCCCATACAGGTGGTTCAGTTTGGAGACAGCTGGAGTCACCACTGCACTGCGGTCCACTGTACCAGTTCGCCTTCGACCCTGGATGGATAGAAATGCAGTGCATACTGGAGTAGTGCGGCAAGCAGAAGACGCACTTTTAGGTCATAATTGGGCGTATTTGAGAATTTGTGGTTGTATAAATACATGTAATATCCAAGAATGTCAGGACATCCGAGGAGAGGTACTCTTTGTTAAACGGGTTTCTGGAACAGTAATTTCCACTGTCAGCATCCACAGATTGCTACAGCAAGTGTTAGCTTGAGAATCACAGAGCCATCTGCAAGAAAACACGTCTGCCTACAAACTAAAGTCAGCAGACTAAAAGGTTTTAAATCAGAGACTGATCAAATTAATCTGAGTTTACTAATGATCTATCAGTAGTCAGGAGTCATACCCGTTTCCGGCCAGAGAAATCTTCTCTGGGTCTCTTCACTCCACGCTGAGGAGCAGATGGCTTCTGATCCAATGATTCTGCAAAAACACACAGTAGAGTGAGTGAGTCAGAGAGTGTGTCTGTGCTGTTTAGTATGTTTTCCATCTCCACTTTGCGTAAACCAATAATATTTCTGTGTGCTGGCATTAAAAAACAGTCATCCTTTTTTTCAACAGATTAATTTTGCCGTTCACTTTAAATTATATGATGTCTCACCAGACGGGAAGTCAGTCTCCAAGTCCATCATTGGAGAGGAGGGAGGTTGATGCTCGCCGCTGGTGGTAGGTGGGTCGCTTGTCATGGCGCTCTCCTCTGACTGCGTATTAAGTTGTGGATCAGCTGACTCTGTGCTCTTCTCTGAACTTACAGTAACTGGCAGGTCAGCTTGAACCGGTTTTTCAGTCTTCTCATTTTCACGGACTATTGGAGTGACCACGTCTGACTTCAGGTCTACACTGTAACAACTGCTTTGGTCTGTAGCAGACAGAAAATAAACATGAATGAGGTTGCATTTGGGTCATCACGCTTTGACATTTGGGTACTTGTACTGGTTATTGTAGCAAGAATGTGTATATATGACATACATCTATAAAAATCAGGATAAGAAAGCCCTCACCTGCACTGGAAACAGACCCATCTTTCAGTTTTTCTTCCTTCATAGTCCAAGGCTCTGATTGGACTGCTGCGTCTTTCATCTCTTTGTTCTGTGGTGGTACTACCATGGGTACTGGAACCTGTAGAAAATAAGAGAAGAGTTTCATTTGCTGCAGCAAATACTCACTACAAAGTACATTCATCATTTTGAATTCATAGAATTTTGAATGTAAAGTAATGGGACGTACAGGCACAGGCATAGCCATAGGAACAGGTGTGTGCTGGGAGTACATGTTCATAGGCACTGGAATGAAGACTGGTACTGGGATGGGCACCATTAACACCTTCACATTCTCCTCTCCTGCTGAGAAGCTAACTGAGGGCAGAGACAGAGCTGGAGGGGGAAGAGAGCGGGTGAGCAGGGAGGAGGGGAGATCATGAAGAAGAGACAGAAAAAGAAAAATGGGCAAAAAGATGATTAAATAAGGCACAGTAGACACAGTAAGATAATTCACTTTTAAAACTTTTTCATTTTTGAAAATATCTATTTGCATTAAAGGAAATTACAGAAGAACAAAAAAAGGAAAATGAATTAATGACAACTCGGTACAATAAAATAGCATTCAGAAACCAAGAGCATGGTTGAGATCACTGATAAGCTCTATCTTCTGTGTGTATTAGTGTTAATTGCCCCTCAGCTTAAGTAACTCCTGATCATAACTTACTATAAACTAACAAACTGTTTTCGTCATCTGTTGCTTCTGATTTCCTACATTTAACAAACATACAATATCTGTCTTAGGTCTCAGACTGCCGATCAGTGCTCAGTGAATAAAGCTTCCTGTTAAATCTGCCAGTGGGTTAACAACAACAATGTGTATCCCTGATATACAGTATATATAGACTGTACGTGTATCAGGGAGGAAAAGCAAAAGGTCAACTGACAAACAGCTAATGTGTGATTGAAATCAGACAACCTAAATGTTAACTAATCATTTAAGTTTTTTATACAAGCACCACAAGCCTGATTTCATTAAGATCTGCTGTATCATCAGTCACAGATCTGGTCATTATTAATCTTTCAAAGTTGACATTGGTATTGTGCTTAATTGGAAGAAGTCATAAGAGCTCCTGCTAAGAGATTTACCTGCCCTCAGTGTCTCTTCAGTGATCCTTCATATCTTCTGATTGTGTGCTGGTCACTCTACTCTCCTGAAGCAGTCAGCAGAGCTTTTTATCTCAGGAAAAACCTTTACTTGTGATTAGCGCACCTCGGTCCCAGTGGAAATCTGTTCTCTATTCTGTCACGTGACCATCACTTCAGTCCTGTTTTCGTGTGTTTGTGTCTTTGGTGCAGCTTTTGCAGCTTACTGTATCATTAATACATCTTAAATTGACTGAAGCCGTTTGTAACACAGGCACAACTGATTTCATAGCTAAGTTACTACGGTAAATAATAAACACTTGATAGTTTGTTTTAGACTCATGTCCAAGCTTCACATGTGGGGATTTGTATTAGCAGTTTCACACTCACAATTATGTAGTCTTTATGTTGCCTTTAAATTACATTACACTTCTTCCGTTTACCATCAGATTGAGGGAGACCATTTGTGGGATGTGACAGGTAAAACAAACAAAAAACAATTTTAAATTGATTCAATTTATTGATGTATTTTATTTTTTTGCATTTAACAAAAGATAAACCGTCATTTTCAGGTGTTGACAATATGTTTCAAACAAACAAAAAGCAGTAAAGCCACATAATTTCACAATGTTATCCATGTCATGTGTAATCATAAAAGTAAGGAAAAATGAAAGACATGCAGTTACAGTGGAGAGGTAACAAAAACTTATAATAGCTTGTAAAAGAAGTAAAAAGTTAATATCAGAGACATAATACAAGGTTGGAATCAACTCAAACGCAGCAGATGGATGAACTGAAGTCAACCTTGGTTCATATGATTACATCAGTAGTGAGGTACAGCAAGAAATTTAACCTTAACCATCACACATTCATAATATACATGAAAAAGTAGCGCAACAGTATAAATACATTAACTGAGCGCCCAGATGAATGCTCTTTTCTTCACTCATACACTGTAAAAACTTCAAGTGATCGCAGATTTTAGCCTCATGTATACCTGACAGGTGCATCTCAAGTTAAAGGTGGAGCAGAAAGCAAACAGTGACAAGCGGGGAATTTCACTTCCTACAAAGTTTATTGAGAGCATTACACTGCTACCGCCTCGTTTGGTCAACTTGTCCCTTGGTCAATATGGCAGTGAGAGTGAACCCAAACCAAATGACTTGCACCAAAGATCATCCACACACTAGTTCTGACTGCCCTTCTGAGGAAAAATTGTTGGTTTCTGCGACAACTGGACCACTCGTCATTTATTAGAGAATTAAATTTAGTATGGTGCCCTTTCTAGACAGAAGTTACATAGTTTATCTACACTAGTTAAAACCCTATGGAAGAAGCCACTGTTTTACAAAGAACTACAGTAACAGTTATTTAATACTAAGTCAGAATTCAAGTATTTCAGTCAAAGTAGAAGCACATTTAGCAGCACAGTTGCTCCATGAACCTGCATTTTCAGTTGGATTTTGGCTTAAATGGGTCTGCCTTGTTTTATATGACGTAAGAGCTGATTTCAAACACATATAACAAACTGGTCTGGATTAGACAGAAACAATGCGGAAACCCCTTTATAAGAAACCTGTACTGGAACAATTAACTATTATCTTCCATTGGCTGGACCAGTAGGTAGGCACACGTGACCTAAATGTAAGGATCAGGTTACATACTGTATGACATGTGCGGGTACTGCTAGTGAAGAGTTAATGACAGTGAATTTCAGCCTGTAATGTAAATCTATATCACATTGTGGGATTGTGGGGGTAGTAAAAACATACTTTTTTTGTGCCATTATGTATAAGAACCCACCAGAGATAATGCTGCATCAGATCCATCCATTTACACAACATTAAACATTTAGATTTATTGTTTTTAAGACACTTTAAGATGGACTGTGATTGGGATCAGCTTTAATGACATGTTTATGTATTGTGACACAGATTAATCAATGAGGTAAAACTTACTAACATGCTACAGTTAGTACTCCGCCTTGGACTAGAACACCTTACCAAGCCCATCAGTTCCAGACCACTCACAACACCCCTTACACAGAATAAATAATCTTTATGGGAAGAGGAAACAGACAGCTGTGAGAGTCTGTTCTGAACAATGGATCATAAATACTGCTATATTTCTTTTATTATAAAAAAATACCAAAGCACCCCCTTAACTGTCTTATTTCACTGCACTGCCTGTTTGCCAACATACTTCCATGTAACTACTGTAAACTAATGGTTATTCTGCCTTCACTGTCAATAAAGGTTTTGGATTCAATTTGAACAGACAACCACACAAAAGGAAGTTAAGGTCTGTAAAGTAGTGTTGCTGTGGACACTGTAGTTGTTTAGTCTTTGTCCGGGGTCACCGTAGAGATGACTTCTCATGTCGGCAGGTCAGGAGGCTGTGGAGAGAAAAACTTGGGTGACACACTCGACCCTCTTAAGAAGTCAGTTGAAGCAATGACATAGTTGCAGTGATCATAAATTTCACACGCTGCACACAAACACAACATAGGAATCCTTGGATAGTGGAAACAGCTGTGGTACAAACAACTTTATTGGTACTATTATATATTTAGAGTATAACTGAATTAATTTTTTTGTGTTACTCTGAAAGCTCACCTTGTGTTTCCAGTTCAGGAGCTGTTTTGTAGATCAGTCTGGTGTGGTAGAGTTCAAAACAGGGCACAGGACAGAGGCTGGGCTCTCCTGAGCATGTCTTACAGTAATACGACGTCTGCCTCCTCAGTGGGTCACACTTCTGCTCACATTCTTTCCTTTCACAGTGCTCTTCCTCTTTTCTCTTTCCATCATTGTCATCATGTGAATTTACTCCCTTTGCCTTGTCAGCCTCTTCTTCTGTTTTCCTCTTTGGCTCCTCATCCCCCTCAATCTTCTTCTTCGTTTTCTTCTTCTCCGGCTCTTCTTCCTCCACCCTCTTCCTTTTGTGCTGTGAGCAGACCTTGCAGTCAGAGTCAGTATCCCTCTTGCCCAAGAAATGGCGTCCGGTTAGGCGCGCTGGCACGCCGTTACATGGCTGAGTTTCTCCCTGAGGTTTTGGCGACGGCGGTGGAGATGTGGATGCATCAGCAGATGGCCGGGCAGGTTTCAAGGCGCTATCTTGCAGAGCTGGTGCAATTATTGAAACAGCTAGTTGTGAACAATGAATAATTTAATGAACCAAAAAAAATAAATGAATGAATTAGATGGTGTGTAGAATTGTGACACACACCCTAAAAAAAGGGACAAACCAGTCATAGCTTAAGGGGGAGAATGACTTCTATCAGGTATTACATTTTTATTGTTAATGCTTGCTGTGGATAAAGGACTAATTATTCTGGACTGAAACAGCAAAACCCCCCTCAAGTTTGCAACAAAATTTAGTACTATTATTTTTTACCGAAAAGTGTGATATTTATACTCAATCCCACCTGTGTGTCCACCTTGTGTTGACAGTGAAGATAATAAAGCTTGAAAATGATATTAAGCAGGCTTAATATCATTTTCCACAAAGCACTGTGTTAAAGTTAGAAGTTTTGCTTTGGTAAAAATTCAACATTTGTCATAAGAAAATATTAAAACATAGCAACTGCCTCGTAGTGACACCTTATGCTGCACTACCAATAGCTGGTATGGTTTGATCAGTAAACACAAGTAAAAGTTTTAAAGAGATTTTTCCACACATCAAGCAGGACTGAAGACTCAACACCATCAGAGTGTGCAAAGATAGACGATATAATGTCAATGATCATGGTGGAAAAAGTAGAAAATGTTATAAAACTATATTTAAACTATAAAACATTATGTCTTCTAAGACAGATTTGAAATACTTCATGCTTAATGTTCCACATGTCTGTACGAACAATGTGCAGTAAGTACATTTGATGTCCACTTGGTATTTGGACACAATGTAGTGAGTTTTACTGTCAGAAAGCTGTTGGATGGCACACAGTCCATCTGACTCTGGCCGTGCAGTCGGTCTGTGTCCTGTGTGAGGCGTAATGAAGCTAAGCTACTCAAATTTCGTATGTTTTTTGTAGTTACCTGCTGATTCAGTGGAAGGTGCGGGCAGCTGGCACATGCTCTCTTGGTCCATAGTGAAGGGCCGACACAGAACTGACTTGTTCTTCATTTGACGACGACGGGACACAGGCACTCGCATGGCGTCAGTCTGAGTACTGGCCTGGATATAAGACATTAAAAATAAAACAGCAAAAATAAACAAGAAGATCTGATCTAGTTCTTAAACATAAATATGCTGTAATGGTCATTTTACTGACCAGATCTCTCATCTGATATTTAGAAAAATACATAAAGACCTACAGTTGTATGCAAGGTTACATTAAACAAACAACACACACAAAGAGTACATACATGATCTAGGTTCTTGCCATCAACATTGGAGGTCGGAAGTGCTCCTACAAAAGAGGAATAAAAATGTATCAGAACTGCATTAAACCCCATTAAAACGTGCATATATATATATATATATA